GTGTTTATAGTTGTATATCAAAAATGGTTTTGATATACTTAGTTCACTATAAACAACGATTTGATACCGATCTATCACAACCCCAAACCTGAACGACGGAAACATTCGGGGCAGAGGATGTCATATTCAGTATCACAACAATTGAATAGTAAAGAAAGTACACATCACCATAACATATATTTGATAAGTTTACATGATTGTATCTATTACATGCTTAAAAGTCAAATACAATATGATGAATTCCAAAAGATGACATTAACGCCAGAGCGTTAATCTCTAAAAGTAGTTGCTAACCTTGGTTAGTGGTTTCCTGAGAGCATAATTTATTTCAAGAAAAAGTGTCGACAAGTAAGTAGGTGAGTTCATAAGTAGTGTTTAGTGGAAGTGAATGCTATTTGAAGTTCGTGTATGTTTTCCATAAAATCCCTTATTTTCTATTAAATGTATGAAATGAGTATGAAAGATCGTTGTATAAATGTATGTATTTGAACCAGGAAAATCCCTTATTTTCCTAAAAGTGAAATGCAATCTCAAATGACCAAGACCGTAAGCGGTAAGCAACTATGACATGCTCAAAAGAATGTTGTATAGTCTTATTATAAAACAACACTATAATAAGATCGTATTTGTAAATTAAAAGTATCTGTAATAGTCACTTTCCCCATGAAAACATAATACCGTAATAATTGTTTATCTCGTGATTTTTCATAACCGTACTGTCATAATTTTCCTGTAGTGACGTTCTTCAGGCGTCGAAATGAGATGACACTTGTCACCCCGAGGACTGTAGCTAACAGTCAGGGCGCGATATTATTAGTCCCATATAGATCTGTACACACTTGTCACGTTCTCCGGACGGGATATTCTGGTTATAAAACATGACTTCTAGCGGTACCTTAAAAACAATATTGACCATGTTTTTATTTGTATTCTCCCCCATAATGTGTTAAAAGCATTTAAAAAGTATTTAAAAACGTAGAAATGGGGATATGAACTCACCTGAAAGAAGTGGTGAGTTGAAGAAGGCGAGACTAAACTCGGGCAGTACTACGACTGGAAAGAAGCAAGTTCCTCGGGAACTTTGGGACTTCGGGGTTCCTTGAAGGCTTTGACATGCAACCGGGGCGTCGGGGATAGTCTCAGAATGCTTAACACTGAGTAAAAGTAGGAGAGGGGATATAAATGAGCAGCCAAACTTGGAACCCTCAACTTCTATTTATAGGGAGAACTTCTAGAGTTCATGCCATGAACATGAAGATGTTCACGTCGTGAAATTGGTTCTTATCCATCTGCTGACTCGACTTGTGAATGCCGAACCTGGAGCTTATCCATAACTGGCTTACGTCGTGAGCTTCAGGCTCACGCCGTGAGTCCTTTGACAGTGTGGGAATTCATGACCTCAACTTTATAAATTCATATATCTCGCATACGAGCTTCAATTTTGACGTTCTTGATATGCATGCGTAGTTGAGATTATGCTCTACAACTCTCGTTTAGACTTTGTTGGCTAATTTTGAATTTATTTTTAATATTACATTTTTAACAGGCCGGGACAGGAAAAGTCCATTAAAAATCCATAACTTCTTCATCCGATATCCGTTTTCGTCTATATTTTTACCGTTGTACTGCTATTGTTGAGATTTTTGATTCTCGTTTAGGTTGTGTTGGCTAAAAGTCGTTTGATCTCAATTTCGAGTTTTTAGTTGTCTACTGTTATGTCTGAAACTTTGAAAAATCATAACTTCCTCATACGAAGTCAGATTTAGGCGTTTCTTTTGTGTATGTTTACGGTTTAATGATATCTACAACTTTCATTTAGATACCTATGGTTGAAAAGTATTTTATTGAACTTTAGTATTTTATGCTTAACAATATTTTTCCAGTTTTGTTGCGGATATTCGATTGGTCATAACTTCTTCGTTATAACTCGAATTTCAGTGTTCTTTTTATTTTTGGAAACCTAGTTACGATCTCTACCAATTTATTTATCCCAATTAAGGTTATTGGACAATTTATTTTTGACCTAAATTTGACTGGTGTTACACTGACTACCATCAAGATTAAGGGATGGGTACCACTTCCCAAACGGCTAGAGCCGCCGGAATTGATCTGCGACAGCGCGGCAGCCATAATGGTTGTAATTGCTGCCTGGAACATGGCAGGATCGAACTGAGGAGGTGGTGGCATTGGATCTGTCGGGGGATTGTTGTTTTTTCTGTTGGGTCTTTTCTTTGGAGGCATCTTGTTCTAAAAATAATCAGGAAGAAGAGGATGGTAAGTCCCCTAGTTTTTTGAATCAAAAGATATGAAACAAGATATATCTCAGCCTAAATGATAAAGACTTCTACTAAGCGATAAACAAAGAAAAGTTACCAACGCAAGTAAACTATCGTTAGGAAGAAATAAGTAGCAACACTTGGAATGATTCTCTACATCGGATTCGGCTCTCGCTAAAATACTCCTATAGTATTTTAAGTTGTATGCTTTGTTCTATGGATATCTTGTTATATATAGCTTGGTAAGTGTTAGGCCTGCTGCAACACTACAGTTACTCCCAAACACATGTTGGTTATGTCTCAAATAAATATAGCTGATCAGGCTATATTGACCCTATACATGATTGCATAACTATCCAGGTTTAACCGCAGTATCCAACATCCAAATACTTTTGTTTTGTTCTACTTATGATATAGTTTCTGTTACGTATGTATATTTGTATACTTCTTATAAAATACTTATATTTTAAAAGTATACTTTTAGTTCAGAGAACTTCGGCCCCTTAGCGTGTATAGTTGTATACCATGTAAGGTTCAGTATACTTAGTTCACAATAAACAATAGCTCTGATACTAATCTGTCACACCCCTAAACCGTAACGACGGAAATGTTTGGGGGTGGAGGATGTCATGTGTAGTATCACAACAGTAGCACCATAGTAATCAAAGTAAACAGAACCATTACATTAAGATATGAATATTTACATCTGTTTGATATATAGTTTGTATACATCAAAAGTATGACAAAATAAATAAAAGACATGTCTCTATATGCTTCGTCTTCTCAAAACGCTGCAGGAGTACCTGACTACTGATTTCCTGAGAATACAAGAGATTTTGAAAGAGTATCAACATTAAGCTGGTGAGTTCATAAGAATGATTTTGTATTGAAACCTTTCATTGAATTCTATAAAAATGTTTGTATGCTTCCCAAGAAAATACAATATTTTCTAACATATATATTTGTTATTGTGTTCTATAGTAGTGTATCAAGTAATAGTTTGATTGACTGGCTACCACCAGCTCTATCATATATCATTGTTTTGAATGCAAACATTTTTATATGAAAACCCTGGTTACTACCAGTAAAGTATTGTATGTTCTGATTGAAAACCCTGGTCACCATCAGTATGTATAGTAGTTTTATTATTTAAAATAAACCGAGTATCGTATCCCTGGAATCCTCCAGTGTAATGTGTAGTAGTTCTATTAGTTAAAATAAGACTAATGAAGAATGAAATCCCGTAAAAAATATTAGTTTATACTATTGTGAGTTCTTATAACCATACTTGATATGAATGATGACCTCATCGACGTTCTTCAAGCATCGTATGGTATGATATTTGTCACCCCCGGCATGCCTACCTAACTGTAGCTAGCAGTTTAGGTGTGGGGTTATCTGTCCCAAATAGATCTATTCACAAATCTTACGCTCTCCCTCAGGAGACTCTGGTTACACTAAGTGTTGAGGCTTTTACCAGTACCCTGAAGGGTACCATAGAAGAGATGTCTCACAATCCTGTATCAACTAGTTTAAGTGTACTTCTTTATCCTTTTCTTGTAATTGAAACCATTTGTGTACTTGGTAGAGTATTAATAATTATACTTAAATAACTATTTAGTGTTATACTCTTGTTATCCGAACGTAGTAATGAATATCATAAACTACTGTCGTCATAGTTTATTTGTTTGCCCATGTATATAGTCTGAATCGTTAAAACCTGTGTAATGAATTCCCCAAACTATACCCATTATAGTTTGCCTGAAATGTTATGTACTTGGCTCGTGAATTGTTCCTAAAACTATGCAATTATGATTTCAAGGTGAAAGTGTCCCTTATGCTCAGTATATTACAAAAGGGATAAAATATCTAAATATTTTATAAAATGTGGAAAATTTTTGACTGTATCAATTGCATAAGTTTCAAACTTTTTGAAATCCTTTTGTTTTGGTTCAAAAAATCATTTGTGTTTGGCTTGTATTCCCCCCTTAAAATGTTTAAAAGCCATAAAAGTGTAGGGGTATGAACTCACTGTTGGTTGCGTGAAATGTCGAACAATGAAACTGGAAATTAAGACCCTTGGGTTGATGTACGTGACACTTAACGGAATCCTAATAACATTTAAATAGATATTTGCCTCTATATTAGCGATTTCGTTAGATATAGTGTTACAAAAACACTTGATTTTGGTTAAGGAATGTTACCGGGACTTGATTGAATCGGGGAAAGCGGGTTTTCAATCAAATTCACCACTTTGGAAGGGTTTGCGAACGTGAATGGGGTTTAAGCCCGTGAACTGTTCTCGGCCGTGAATAACCCCTTGAAAGGTTTACGGCCTTGAACGATGTTCTTGAAGGAAATATGAATTTTTGATAGGTGTACGGCCGTAAACAATTTGCGGCCGTTGAAGGTTTGAAGATTTGAAGGGTGTACGACCGTAAAATCAAGAACAACAACACTTGATATCGATAAATACTGATGATTTGATGCTCCAAATGAGTTCCAAGGTGAATAGAACGATAAATGAAGAGAAATCTTGTGTTTCCGGGTGAGGATTTTTAGAGAGAAAAGGTGTGTTCGTGGCCAAAAAAGTTCAAATGAGGGTAGGTATCATGTATATATAGGGGGGTTTCATGGATGGTGGTGGGGTCCACCAACCGTGAACTAGTTTACGGCCATAAACGGGTTTATGGCCATGAACAGGTTTATGGCCATAAACTCCACTCAGGCCGAAAACGGTTGATTTTCGAAAGAGTGTTCCACAACAAGCTTGTTGTATACCGGATCTTGGATATGAAAGAGTGTTCTCCAAGTTGTACATACAAACCACCCTTGGATTCCATCATAAGATTGTATAAGATAGGGTTCAATGGCCTCCAATAAACCCACTTCCTCAATCCAATTCCAATTGATTTCTGTCGACACATGTACCCTACGCTCCTTTAGCAATGCAAGCCTACCATTCCATTGAGCCAATACTTTCGTAGCCAACACCCTTGGAAAGTTATTCCACGGGAAGTCGGGATGACCCCCAGGTTGATTTATTCTTCCATAACTTGACATTTTCTGTAAGGGAAGCATAAACACAAAACCAAATAACCATTTGAAAGTTTAGGATAGAAAACAATTAATATAAACCAAATAAACAATGACCACGACGAGCACCACGATGAATCGTCGTGGTCGACGAACATGCTGCGTAATCTGCAGTTTAATGTAACAAAATTCCATGGCATTCCATCCCAAATCAAGTTTGGGTTTTGCTAAGTGCATAAATGCGCATGTTTTAAGGTAAGATTCGATGTATAAACATAAAAAATTAAGCCCAATTTGAACAAAATTCAGAACCCTAAAGTGTGAAATTTCCCAAATAACAGTTTATAACAGCAATTTCGTACCATTAATACTCATATACTCGATTATTACTAAGAAAACAAGTTAAAAATCATACCTTTTGTTGTAAAAAATAGACGATTTTGTGGGAGAAAGAACACGGTGAGATGGAGTGGGAAAAGTAAAAGAAAATTTGACTAATTTGGGTTAAAAAACCCTAATTTTGACTGCTGGTAAACAATCACCATGTCGTCGTGGTGAGAAAAATAATTTAACTTTGACAAATTTTTCATAAAAACTTCCACCCTACACTCATTCCACGCTATTTCTCTCAACAAAATCCATAAAGAAATTTCAGAGGATTGAAAAATAAAAAATAGAGAAAAATAAAGAAAATAAACAAAAAAAAAAAAAAAAAAAGAAAAGGAAACAAAACGCAAACTCTTTACCACATGCTGCCTCCTGCAAGCACTTCTATTTTGGGTAGTCATGAGCCAGACTCCTTCCTGCTCTACGTTGATGGGGTGGTGCAACTTCATGGGTTCCCCTTCTTTTTCCTCAATCATCATGCCTTCCTTATAGTGATTTACCCATTATCCATTAACTTTATAGGGAATTCCATCTTTTGCAAATAATTAGATAGCCCTATGTGGAAACATTTGTTTCACAACAAATGGCGCATCTCAACGTGTTTGGAACTTCCTGGGAAAAAGCTTCATTCTTGAGTTAAATAGGAGAACCTTTTTCCCCGCTTGAAATTCCATGCATCCTCTCAACCTTGCTTCACGCCATTTCTTGGTTTTATCTTTGTAGATTAAGGTGCTTTTGTATGCGTCATTCCTTAATTCCTCTAGAGCATTTATTTGCATTAAACGGTTTGTTTGAAGTTCAGTCAATTCAAAGTTACAAATCTTCAAAGCCCAAAATTTATTATGTTCAGTTCTACCAGAAAATGGCAATTCTTTCGATAGACCAACCTATATGGTGTATGTAACACTAGTCAAAATAGGTCAATAGACAATCACATGTGATTATGCCAATCATGTAATGTGATTATGTTAACCTAGTAATGTGGTAAGAGTGTTATGTAGTTGATGATAAATTCTAATACAAATATCAACTTTCTTTATGATTCAACTCAAAGTATACATCCATACGATTCCAAAAATATAGAGAACGTGTGAATCTGACATCGCATGAAGATGTTATGATAAACCGAACACTATAAATCTCTATAATAAGAAGAATTTAAAATAGACTTATAATTAGCTATTCATTTCTAAATGAGAGTTGTATTACTCGTAAATACCTACGCGTGCATATAAACAACGTCAAAAACGGAGTTCGTATGCAAAAGTTATGGCCTTTCGAAGATTCAGCTTTCAGAAACCCTAATCTAGCTAAACTCACGACGTGAACAAGGGTTTATTCACGACGTGAGGAGTCATTTTGCCACATTTCGGAATCTAGAAGGTGTGACGAGGCTGCGAGGGGATAGGATCCAAACTCACGACGTGAACAAGCTGTTTTTCACGACGTGAGAAGTCACATGGCCACCTTCCAAAGCTAGGGACGCAAATGGCAAGTCTACGGGGTGATCATGCAAGACCCACGATGTGAGCCTTATGAAACTCAGGACGTGAGAGTCCAAAATCCTTACTATAAATAGCAGGTCCGACTTCAGCTATTCCTTACACCATTTCCTTATCTCCTATCTCCCTTGCTGAAGCCATCTTGCATCCTGAGCCCCGATGATCTCGCACGCTGACCGTTTTGCTTAGATAACATAAAATCACGATACTAGGGTGAGTTTCACGGCCCCACTTTCTAATATTTTGGGGGAAAACGCATGCTAGTTATTGTATATATGTTATTATTATGTCTATATGATAGTATATATTTATGATAATCGATATATGATTGTTCTAAATATAACATTTTGAATACATACAACTATTTTTAACTTATCAGTATGTTAATTTACTAATGTAGATCTTGAGTTATACTTAGGATTCTACATATATGTTGTGTGCGATATAATACCGAAATAATATTGGAAAGTTCTAAATGTTAAGTTATATAGTATGTTGCTATTAATAGTTTTATGTCAAGATAAATCTGGATATGTTATATGTTGTTATTATTAGTTTTATGTCAAGATAATACTGGATATGTTATATGTTGTTATTGTTAGTTTTATGTCAAGATAAAATCGGATATGTTATATGTTGTTATTGTTAGTTTTATGTCAAGATAAAACTTGGTATTGTTATTGATACTTTTATGTTAAGATAAAACTAGAAACGTTATATGTTGTTATTATTGGTTTTAGGTCAAGATAAAACCTGGTTTTTACTTCAAGATATAGCTGTTATATTGCCTAAATATTATGAAGTTAGGAGTAATGTTTAAAAGCATAATCTAGTAACTTAAGGTTTTAGACATGAAGATGCTTTTGTTGTTAGAGCTATTGGAAGCCCTCAAAGTCTACATGAGTAATTGTATTAATCAACTAAGATTGGGGATCTTAGTGGAAATCCTCTGAACTGTAATCATTAATCACGTGTGAGCGAGGAAGTCGTGTATAAGTAGTATACGGGCTGACCACCCCACTTGTGACTGTTAGCTACAGTCAACCAAAAACAAGTTGTCACACCCCGAAAACCGAAGGCAGAAACATTTCCGGGGTTGACTCCACGTTGAGTATCAAATCCAATGCGCATAGTAAGTAAAGTAAAACAACCATTACATTACATAAGAAAAGTTTTACAGTTGTTTCAAAAGTAAAGTTTGTACAGTTATGATACATAGTATATATAAACAAAATGAAACGGATCTTCATGTACACCATCTTCGAGCAAAAAGGATCTTCGGGTACCTGTTCTAACGCTGACCTGAGAACACAAGCAGTTTGAAAATCAGCATAAAGCTGGTGAGTTCATAAGCGGTTTTTGTTTGTGAAAATGTTTCAAGTTTCCTTTCTGTTTCTGAAATGTTATGTATACCAAGAAAATCCCATATTTTATTAAAAGTTGATTGTTGTTTCACAAATGTAAAGTAAAGTAAGTTTGTACACTGAAAACATGTCCACTCCTGTAAAATGTATAGTTTGGTTATCCGACTTATTAAACTGTACTGTTTACCTATCATGTATTCCCAGGAAAATCCCATACTTTCCTTATTGTTTATTACCAATTGTTAAAGATGTAATGTTATCCAGTTTGTTACTCTTTCTTGTTATGTAAGTGTTACCCAGGAAAGCCCCATGCTTTCCTGCGTGTTGGTTTCCGATGTGAGTGATGTAAAAGATGTAAACGTGGTTAGGTTCCATGTTTTCCCCAGGCAAGTCCCATACTTTCCTGAATGTTAGTTACCGTACGTGAAAGATGTAAAAGATGTATAAAGTGGTTTATTATTACTATAAGTAAATCTCTGTCATCCTAATTATGATTTTCATAACCATACAATAGACTAAAACTGTGGCAATAAGTAGTCCACATACTTATGACTTTCGTCACCCTTGAACCATTTCGGTTCGGCTGTAGCTAGCAGCCAGGTGTGGGGTAGTCAGCCCCCTATAGATCTATACACTCAAGTCACGCTCTCTAAATACCAGAGATTCTGGTTACGGGTGTAGTCCTCCACTCGCGTATCTCTGTGGAGTGTTCTCCGAGGACGTGTCTCCAATCATACAGGATTAACAAATTTACTAGTAATAATGTGATAGTCCTCCACTCGCGTATATATATGGAGTGTTACCGAGGACAAAACAGTGTACATGTATTATATTCAAATGTCTAATGTCATGCTTTTAACTGATAAAATGTGGAAAACCATTTGTGAAATATATGTAAAACATAACAATTTAAAGACCTATTTCACAAATATATGTTACGTGATCTGCATGTTCAAATGGTTATCAGTTGTGGTAATTAGTAATAAAAGCATATGAAATATGAAACACACATTTGAAAACATGTTTTGAGTACAAGAATTCCCTTGTACTTTGCTTGTGTTCCCCCCTGAAAACAGTGAAAATAGTGAAAAAGGGTAGGGGTATGAACTCACCGGACTCGGAAATACATCGGTTTTCGATACTAGACGTTGGTTCGGGGTTTGATTACTCGCAATGTCCCTATGTAAAATGAAATAATGTCCATATATATATATATATATATATATATATATATATATATATATATATATATATATATATATATATATACAATTAGGGATACAATCACTAATCATATGGAGAATTACACTCCAACGAGGTTAAACACCTCAAAACGAGCGTTTGAAGTGACCCGGGTGACATCTTCGGACGTGTAAAGGCACTAGGGACTTGGCACTTGAGTTTACTCCCCAAGAGTAAACATTTTAAAGGCTTTACAGCCACATAACACACTCATACATGAGTTTACGGCCGTAAACTCATGTTGGTGTGGTTTTGAGTGTTTAATGGCTTAAATGGACATGGGGATTGTTGGAATGGATTTCTAAAATGCCTTGGAATGGATTACATGGAATTATATCACTTCAAAGGGAGTTTACGGCCACACCATAAGAGTTTACGGCCGTAAACTCACCCATGGCCAAGAAAATTTGATTTAAGCTACAAAGGATAATCACATGTGATTCTAGTTAATTTTCCAAGCCTTGTTATGAATTTAGAATACCATTTAACATACTTTTAGGAGTTTACGGCCTAGAGGCATGTTCTATGGCCG